ACTTCTCCTGGGGGGGAAAAAAATTGCAAAACCTGGGACACAGAGACAATAAGGCCTGCAAGTTTTGAGCAGATACATTTTTCATATTTAGGTGCACCTTCTCCCAAAGAGTCTTACCTTTTTCCCCCATATGATTGAGGATTCTTGAAGTGTACCTAAGGGGAATTGAACCGATGAAGCTCAGGGGAAAAAAAGACATTTAAGTAAACAAAGTTTTTTTTTATTTTTAATGAAAGCCCTGAGTGTCCAGCTGGCAATGCCGGTGCTGTTGGGCAGCAGGGGGGCCTGGCTGGTGGTGTGGGTGCTGCAGTCACCCTGTGCCACCCCGGGGTCACTGGGGTCAGAGGGTGGCTGTGGGCCTGTGGGGCTGACTGTCCCTGATGTGGGCTCTCAGTGTGGGCTGGAACGTGGCAGAAAAGGAGCCTTGTGCCCATGGCAGCTGCTCCCTGCATTGCCATGGCAACACATCTGTTTCCTCCATTTCCCCATTCCTGCCAAGGGAGAGCCCCAGCCCTTCTGGCATCAACACAAGCCCGGGAAAAATCCAAGTCTCAACAAAACACCTTTTCACTGGTCCCTCTCTGCCCAGGCCGCAGCCCTCTCTTCAATGACTGTAAAAGCCTTTACTCTGTCAAGGACAGAACATTCTCTTACAAAGAGTTTGCCTTGCTGCTGCAGCCCTGTTTTTTTAAAAAAGCACTGTAACCCTTGAGCCCTTGGAGCATAAGGGCCAGCAGAACCCCAGCACCCCTCCCCACCCTGGGTATCATCACACTCCATAAGATGCAGCAGCCCCCTGCTTCATCACCTCACTTTTTTCAGGCATGCAAGGTTTTATTTGCCCCCCTCAGACTCTTGATAAACACTATGGGGTTTTTTCAGGCTTTTTCACATTTCCAAACAAAGAATCTTTTGCTCTGCAAGATTTATGGCAAAGGTCCACTTGCAGCAGGTACAAGCTTAAGCTTCTTTTGATGCACAAGTTGGACTCACCAAGTCCCAGCCTCATTTCTCTGAAGAAAACAGCTACAAGTATTTGGGTGCTCACAGGAGAGTGTGGGTTATGGTGCTAAGGAGAGAGCCCCAGAGCTCTGGAGGAGCTGTGAACAGCACAGGTACTGTGCCAGAGCTGGATCATTGATGCTCAAGGTGCCTGGATGCTGGTGCCAGCAGGGATGGTGCCCTTGTGCAGCTGGTTTGTGACAATGGATGCTATCAGCGGGTTGGAAGCCGTGCCTCTCCATTTTCACAGCTCTGCGGAAATACTTGCTGGCAAAGGCAGAGCGTGTGCTCGGCGTTCCTCCGGCAGCGCATCGGGGCGGCCACGCCGAGCTCCCGGGAGGGGCTGCTGGGGCAGGAGCAACCAGCCCTACCTGCCTGGCCAATCCAGCCCTCAGCTGGCAGCACCGCTTGGCTGCTCCTCATCTGTGCAAGTACCAAGCCTTGCAAAGCCATGTCCAGCAGCTCAGAAAGTTTCTTTTCTTGTCTATTCTACTGATTCATGCCCCTGGTAAGCTCTCTGGTTTGAAAAAATATGTCCAGGCCCATGGCTTTATAGAAACTCTCAGGTGATTGAAGGCACAGGGGGAAAACCCCCCAAAGGTTAGGCTGTGTTTCCAAGGAGCACTGTAGCCACCATCTAGTAGCACATCTCTGCTGGGATTCATTTACCATGTCCTACCCCATGCAGAGTACAGGGCGGGTTCTGGCGTGCTGCTGGTGACAGTGAGAAGGGTCAGTGTTTCAGAGTGACACAGGCGGCACGCTGAGACCTTGCAGTGAGGATGTAGCAATAGATTTCCTGTATTTAAAGGAAATAATAACTTATGTCTCTTTGAGGCTGTCAGGTCTCCTCAGTGCATCCAGCACAGAGATGCTGCAGTCAAGTGGGTAAATAAACTGCCTCACGGGTAGCATCACCTTCAAAACACAGGTGAGAAGTGCTCTGCTGTCTCCAGCTGTCTTGCATCCAACCACAGTAAGGATGCCCCTCTCACGCTCCACCTCTGCATTGCAGAGGATCATGTGCCTTGGGAGAGGGACAAATGGATAAATAAGGTCACAAGTCTCCCAAGCACTAATCCTGCCTGTATTTTCTCCTCCATTTCAGTTTCCCAAAGCTGCTCTTTGCTTAGGGTATTATTTTTCTCTGTAGTTTTGTTTGCAACTTGTTCTGAACTCATCTACCTCCTAGATGTAGCCAAAAACGTGATCCTAATGATAACCTTGTGACTGTACTGAAGTTTTGTGCTACTTAAACTACTTTCTTGTCTCTGCTCACAGCAAAGAAACAGGAAGCGAGAGCTTTGCCAAAATATTTTACTAAATAAATAGAACTGCAGGCAGTCTCCACAAGCCAGTCCAACAGTGCCACATGACCCCAGCTGGCAAGAGACAAGGGTTACATTTAAATTTAATTTTAATTCAGAAAAACATCAACACTTATTTACCACAGTTCATAAAATTCATGTGACAAAATTCCTCTAACAGACAGTTTAGTAGCCCTCTTACTCCAGCAATGTAAAAGCAGAACAAATCAAGCTAGCCTGTGCTCCAGCAATACCATATCAGGCCAGCAACAACACATGCACTACAAAGTGACTCCTTGCTGAAATCTCAGGGTGCTCTGTGGCTCTTGGTGCGTCTGGAAGTCCTGAATTCCCTTGCCACCTCTATCAGGCTCCTAGGGGACCTTACAGTTGTCTGAAGCAGCTCAGGTCCACCTTTTGTGTAATTGCAGCTCTGTAAAGAGACATGGTCACTCATGTCCCATTTGGCCCATTGAGAGAGGTTTGGAAGGAGCCCCATCTTGCCATGACCATTCTTGGTGTCCATGCCACTGCCACCTGTCACAAGAAGGACACTGCTGCATGTGGTCCCCATACCCACTGCTTTAGGTGCATCTTCATGGTAGCATGGGAGAGGATGGACTGATAAAATCATTCTTGACAGTAGAATGGTTCAAGAGTGCCTGTAATGCGGGTGTTTGACTCCACACCCCTGGGATCACACACCTTGCCAGTGCTCCCCATGTGGTACCTGGGAATCCGGCCCTCACCAAGAGCCATCAAACCCCACTGTTCGTGATTAATTCACTCTTTGACGGTATTGCATTTTTGAAAACAACTTCCCTGCCAGCACAATCTCCTTCAAATGTGTTCCTGGAGCCAGAGGACTAGAGTGAGGACTAGAGAGAAGCTGGTCTGGGCTACCTTATGTGGAAGCTCTGGGGCCGTTGCCATTCACTGCATGTCTGCCAATCTCGTGTTCCCTCATGATACACCAAAGTTCTCAATCCCAGTGGGAACCAGGCAGGTCCAGCACAGATTTGTCCCTCAGGTGCTGTGCACCCAGTAACAGATAACAGCATGATGATGGGCAGTCCGTGTGATGGGAAATCAGGAGCTGAGCCTGGTGTGCCAGGCATCCCTGGGTGGAGGTGGACCTGCAGAGAGCTGCTGTGCAGAGCTGCCCTGCCTGCCCCTGCCCTGACACTGCCCCAGCAGGGGAGACACTGAGGGGCCCATCCTCACCCTCTTGTCAGACCCTCTTCAGTATCCATACTCCCGCAGTGTTCCCAGCCTTTGCCTGCGTGCCATGGCTCCCAGGCACCTGCTCCTCATGGGGATGGAGGCAGCAGCAGGGCAGACCTGCACCCTTGGTAGGAGGGGCAAGCAATCACGGAGGAAAAATAAGAACAACAGACTGTTTTTCATCTGAATCTTCAGGGCTTCTTGTACAACCCAGAGGAGAAAAAAAAATTTACTAAAGCATATCTTGCATTTCTCAAATGTAATATATGGAGATGTACAGACTCATGGCTACAGGGAATTTCCAGTAACTATTTGGCATGAAGTGAAGGACACACTGGCCCTAGCACTGCTGCTTGCTGGCGAGGAGAGGACATAGCTGCTGGTGGGGCTGTGCCCTGGCAGTGCCCTGGGCACAGTACCTGCTCCAGTTAAAGCCCACTCCCTAGCACACTTACTCAGGGAACTGCACGAGGTTTTCAGGGCTCAGCTATGTCAGGCCATGAACATCCCCTACTACCAGCACACTCCATAAACAGGGTGACATCTTCACCAGCAGCTGACATGGGCACAGGATCCCCTTGGCAGTTACACCTGTGCCATGGTTCCCACCCTGCTGGATGTGGCCCTGAGATGGTATCTCTGGGTTGGTGGGAAGGAGCAATGCTGTGAGGAGTGGACCAGCTTTCCCAGCCCTCCACATTTTCCAAAGGAACAGCATGGAGGTAAAAGCAGGCACTGTCAGGAAGTCTCCTTTGACTCTTCTGTGAGGCCCCCCATGCCCCAGGGGCAGCAGGTCCCCATGCCAGCTCCCTGCCAGGGCTTATCCAAAGGCAAAGCCCACTCAGGCTGCTGTGTTTACCACTCGCCTCCCTCCACTGGGACCACAAGCACCAGAGAGAGGTAATTCCTGCTCCATCTTGGCAGGACAGTACTGTCTTGGTATGAAACACCAAAAGTGAAACACATTATTCCTTACAACTTAAAAAAACAGAAATGAGGAAAAGATCCTATACCAAATGCAGGCAGCCCAATTGCCTTTGAAGCAATCTCCAAATCTCTTCAGATTTATGGGGGAGTATGTCAGATGCAAGGACTAGCAGCACCATTTCCCTGGCAGCGCAGGCACGTGACAGGGGGAAAGAAAGAGCCCTCACACTCCTGGCTGTGGGCTGGCAGGGCTCCCAAAACACCCCCCAAGCCCTGGCAGAGCACAGAAACCAGTGGGGGAGTTGCTCCAGTGGGAAGAGCTTTTTTCCTGGCCATTTTGCTGGCTGTTGGAGTCAGGCAATGGAAGGAGGTGCACAGGAATGGAGACCATGCAGCTGTAAATCCCGTCAAGTATAATGATGTTTTTTTAAGCATATTTTCTTGATTTCCCTCCCAAGGGACCAAACCCAAAAGATGGTTTCATCTTTAGGTAACCCAGAAACAAAGTGTTTCCCAAACAACACTGCAGTCTGACAATGGTCATTATTACAAAAGAGCATTTTATTTCTGTTTTTTCTGGGTGTACTATATTGCAATGTAACACTATGCAGGTCTATTATGATATTACAATTCTTGCTACAGAATTAAGTTTGTCCATTTGGTCAAATTTCAAAGTTTTTTCTTGGCATTCCTGCAGGACTTGTCACCACTTAAGCACATGAATTACTGACGTGCCAGAAAAGTGATATAAGACTTGGAGCAGGCGTTTTCCAATCAGAATTTGCAAAAGTTGTTGGTCTGGCTGGATGCACGAGGTCAGCACAAATATCCATCCTAATTTTGACAAAGGGGGAGATGAACATCTCCAGATTTTGATCACAAAGATTTGCTTGTCAGGCTTAATGTGCTATGAAGGTTGTCTTCTTACTTCTGATGCAATCTTTGTCATCTCTAATTCTGTTACCAAGGAAGATTTTTATTATTTTTCAGCAATAATGAAAAAATGCCTTGCTTAAATTCTGGAACTGTCGTACTTGTTAGGCACCTGATTAATATAAGTAGTTATAGAAACTCTTTGTATATATACAAAGCGTGCTAAAGTATTGTCCACAAAATGTCCATCCACTTTAAGTCAAATACTATTGGTCACAGAAAAGTCTAGTATGAATCACATGTGAATATACATATGAGCAGTACATGATTCACTGAGTAAATATGGCACTTTTACATATTTTCCTGGATGTTATAGAGAATTAGGAAACAATCTTCCATCAGCTGACTCATTCCTAAGCTACTGTAATATGGGTTTGGAAAATACACCCCAGAATAGACAGTAAGAGGTTTAGAAAAGTCAACAGTGCAGCTACCTGAGTTTGTTTCATTATGAAATTAACAGTAATGTGGTATTATATCATCCACTGTGAGCCTGAGGGTTGTCTACTCACAAACACCAAGCTGCCCAACCCTGCTATACATAAAACAGCACAGTTCTCCAAGCACGTGGCTTGGCAAGATGATGAACTGACCTAGCATCTCCAAAGGGACTTGCACTGCCTTCTTCTTGTACAGATCCTAGCTGCAGAGTCCTGTCCCCTTGTTACTCCCATCCTAGTGTCCATCCAATCCTTTAGAGCTGATCCAGCAGAAAATTAGTCCTTTTAGACTGGCATAGTTTTCTGCTGGCTTAAAAGGTTGATTTATCCTGTAGAGCAACCAGACCAGCACCAGACCTGTAAAGGTACATGAGAAGCAGCTGGAACGTGTTGGCAGGAATAGGGAGCATGGGAGGAGGAGGAAGCTGCCCCTTTTTGGTGACAGTGAGCTGTCAGACTGAGGATGCTGCCTCAGCTCACCAAATCCTTGGAGAAGATACAGTTATTAGTGTGAAAGTGCTTAGACTGGTATAGTTTATTCCTAGCAAAGTGAATAAAGATATGCCAGCACAAGGCACTTTATACTCATGTAACTGTGTCCACATGAGGGGTTGCACTGGTATAAATATCATCAGTTACAAACAAACCCCCACATCCCCTAAGTGATGTATTTACAAAAATGGCATAGAACACGTCTCCAACCTTCAGTTATGAGGTGTGCACAACTTCCATTCAGAAACAAGACCACAAACTACACATGAAACAGTATTACACACAAAATAAATTAGGGGTTTAAAATGCTACATCTAGGAATATAAAGACTTTAAAAAAAAAAACTTCAAATGTAATCCCATATTTAAAATCTAAGTAAGAGAATTATACAGCTCCACCAGTTACCTGGACATTTCAAACAGTTTACATTCATCAGGGACAACAGCACTTTGGTTTACATAATTAGGTTAATATGACCAATGAAATGTTTCTCTTCCTCACATAACATCAAAGTGAAATACATTTAGAATATATATACTGCCAAGCTGTTCCAGTAAGTGCATTCCACACAAAAGTTAAGGGTAGGTCTTATGATAGCTACATCAAATACAGGTCTTATATAGAACTAAATCAAACCCCTTAAAAAAAGCTTGATTTGATTCCTTCATGCCTGACCCAGTTTTGATTAATCTGGATCCTCTCCAGAACACAGCCAAGCATAAAAAATAAGTCTGACCTGGTACTGTGGCAAGCTCACACACCAAACTGCACAGCACACCCTGGATTAATGAGGAAGTTCTCACTGCAGTTTGTCTCCCCACCTCTGTAAGTTATCTCTTAAACCAACTGCATGCTTTTGTACCAAGCTCAAGAACTCAGAGTAACTGTAGCTCAAGACACACAATGGCAGTTAGAAAACATGTAAGAGCAACCAATCTGACAACTGTCAAATATTTTACATAAATTTGAACAAACAGCAATTCAACCTCTGCAATTTATGAACATCATTGCCTTCTAGAGAAATAAGGACTTATTCCTAGATTTCTTGTGAAACATTTATCAAGTGCCTGCATCTGACTCAAATATGTGTTGTTGGATACAATGAAGAGATCTCCTCCCAGCAAAATATTTTACTACTTTTGATTAGCTTAAATTAGCTTGTGAGCAGCACATCCCTTTAAAACCTGACTGAAAGAAATCAAATGGCTGGATTAAATAAACAGCTGAACATGGCTTCAGAGGATAAAGTTCCCAACCTGATGCACAATCATTGGAGATTACATTACTGTAAAAAGCAAAATTCCAACCGTAGGATTTACAATTTAATTACCCTCTGGGAGATGAAAACATAGCCTTCATCTCTGTCCTTGATGATGAGACTTGTGAGAAATTAATGTATTAATTTGATCTCATTTTTGCAAATCTGCAAATGTTCCTGTGCTGAGCTTGGTTTTATGCTACCCAGGCTAAATCAAGGAGCATATTAGAGGCTATTTACTCATCAGAAGCTTTACAAACTAAGTATGATTGCACTTTTTCTGGATCCCATTCCTAGAAGGTGCAAAGCAATTCGGTGGGAAGTGGGCTGAGGGGGCAGAGGGCACTTTCTCTCTTGCAGCACTGGTGTTTAAGGGAGAATGGGGTTTTTCAAGATAGCATTTCATCTTGCTGAGTTGACATTTCCAATACAGTGAGTTCACTGCACCCCTTCCACTCAAGTCAGGAGGAAATGGGCAGCCACATCCCCTTGCACTGTTAGGAAAACCTTTAATATGAGTCACTTTGGTCCTGATTCCACTGTGAACTGTGACCTTACTCTTCCTGCAGCAGAGAGGAAATCACAGTGAGTGCCTCCTGCTCAGTGCACTGTGTGAACGGGCAGCCAGACTGAATGGCCAACAGGCCCTGAAGGAGTTCTGCATGCTCCCTCTCACCTGTTAAAATACATAAAGAACCTTTTCTACTTGCTTAGACCATCTGAGAAAACCCTGTTGTAAGTAAAAAGAGATTGTCAGCCTAGATTTGATCTTGTTAGATGTTGAACACCTTCTACTGCCACTGAAGAAAAGAGGAAACAAAGGCATTCAACACCTGCAGCACCACCTGTTGAAGACCATGTCCCAAGGGATTAACAATAACTGGGAAGACAATATAATTATCTATTACAAACTATGCAACCCAAAGCATACATCTTAAACACAGTTTCCCTGGTGGGATTAGGAAATGGAAAGAAAAACCAGCAGACAAAATCATTTACTTTTACCAGTAAAAATTAAGTTACAGATGCCCTTCTTCTCAGGACAAAACAAACTAAAAATATCTTAAAACAGTGAAAAAATATGAGAAAATTTTATTTAAAAATATATGTACTCCTTACTCCAAATTTGTTTGTACAGAAAGGATTTGAAAAAGAAAAAAATAACGACAAATTAAATGCATATTCAGAGTATGCATTCTCTAGACGTTTTTGGTAGAAGTGTTATTTCTGTAAAACTGAGCAAGAGGTTATTCAGCTTTCATTTGCTCCCTGACATCAGAAGGCAAAGTTTCAAACAAGTTGTCCTCTACAGTGAAACCAGTCCTCTTCAGAGCTCTACACTCACCGAGCTCAGGTGGAAGGATTTCAAAGTGATTGCCTTTAATATCCAAGTAGGAGAGCAATGTCAAATTACCAATTTTAGGTGAAAGGACTGACAAGTTATTTTTCCCAATTTTCAGAGTCTTAAGTTTTTTGCAAAAGTACAGTTCATCTGGTACACTCTCCACTTTGTTGCAAGTAATGGAAAAGTACTGTAAACTCTGAAGAACTCCTATTTCAGGTGGGATAAAGCGAATGTCATTGTAAGACAAATCCAAGTATCTGATTTTGTTGCATAGGAATAGGTGGGACGGAAGAACCTCTATTTTGTTATGGCTGAAGGAAAGCCGCTCTAGACTCGTGAGCTTCTTTATATGCTCTGGGATGTAGGTTATACTGTTGTACCACAGCTTGAGAATTGTCAGCTTTCGCAGATGTTGAAAACTTACGATTTCTTCAATGGATTTGAGGTTGTTTTCCTTTAGATCCAATTCCTGAAGACTGAGAAGGCTGAAGACTGCATGAGGTATGCGCTCTAAATCACAATGAACCAATTCCAGCTGTGTCAAGTTGACCATTTTCTTCAGGTTGTTGAGCATCACTAACTTAGTGCCATCATTATGGATACACAATTTCTGCAGGTGACTCGAAACATCAACTGCAGATTGTGGGATTTTGGACAAATTACTTTTTATGTGAAGAACTTTTAGGCTTTTTAGCTCCCGAAAAGACTCCAGTGTAATGTTTTTAGAAATATCATGACTTAGGGAACCAATTAAATAGAGCTCTTCCAAATTTCTGAGGCCATACATCCAATGTGGAAGCTCTCTGATGTCATCAAACTTGACGCTCAAGATCTTGAGATTCTCCTTCAGAAAAGCCAAGGCGGCACTGTGGATCTTCACAGAGCACTGGTGCAATGAGAGCTCCTGGAGATTGTCCAACTGTGCAATGGTTGCTGGTATCATTACATTATTAATTATTTCAAGTTTTAAAGACTGCAGCTCAGTAATTTCAAACACTGTGTCTGGTAGTCCAGAAAGCATGAAAAGCTGTAGCTCCAAATGGCTGTGGGAGTTTGTCTGCAGCCTCTGTCGCAGTTTGTCTGCAGTCCACTCGTTGTTCAGGTTCAGCTGTTTCAGCTTATTTTCACTGACTTCAGACAGGAAGACAGCAAAGCGCTTGGAGTAGAGAGGATCGTACTGATCGATCATATGAAGCATAAAAGCAAAGTCATTCTTGACATCTGGGATGTCATCGATTCCCGTCTCCTGCCGAACATACTCAAAGGAATATTCTTTCAGTGAACGGTAGAACAGCCAGTACAGTGTGTAAAGGCATGTCAGGCCATAGATGCTGACAAAGCACAGGTAGCAGTAAGAGAGTTTAGAGAACAGATGTGCCATGGTGTGATTACAGCAAAAGTTCTTGTATCCTGTCATGTCTTCAATATCAACGTTACAGACTACTGTAAAATTAACTTCTGAGACAAGTGCTGTGTTGTAAGCAATAATAATAAGGAACTTAATTACCTTAAGTACAGTCTGGCGAACGTACATGACATAGAGTATATCACCCTCCTCAACATGCAGTCTAAATTTCTTCACCTTTTCAAACAGTGCTTTGGCCTGTTCACCTTCTTTTTTATCTAATGCCCCAGGTGTTCCCTTATCCACAACTAACTTCTCAGGGATTGATTTTAAAGACTGTGTCTTCACCAAAGTGCCTTCAGTGCTTGGCTGAGTAGTATTAGACTTGTTGATGTTGTTCTTCCTATTATCCTTCTCTTCAGAGTCTTCCCCTGACACTTCAGATAAAGCTCTTGTTGTCCAGGGAGAATCAAAACATTTCCCAAGTATTGAAATGAAGTGTTCAATTTTGGAGCTTGATCCAGGGAATTTGAACCAAAAGTTGCTACACAGCATGAAGACCAGTGTGTGTATAAGGACAAGGTAAGGGAAGTACTTGGCATACCAGTGCAGAGCCCGTTCATAGCACACCTGATTTATAAAGCTGTACTGCTGAAGGTCCAAGTCAGTCTTGAGTCCTTTCATTTCAACTGTAGCTGGAGGGGTGGATGGCTTCAGTGGTGGAAGGGGGGTGGTATCTGGTATTGTGTTAAACACATTTGAACTATTAGATTGGTTCTGGCAAGGCTGGACACGCTTTGGAAGGCATATTATCTTGTCTTGCATGACCTGGAACACACAAAAAGATATCTTTTGAACTGATGTACAAACAATGGTGGCAGCACCAATGGGTAGCTGTCCTTGGAGTACCTCCAGCTGCCAGGCATTCCTCCACACAGCCTGCTACTTGTCCCTACAGGCTGCACTATTATTATTCTCAACAAGACACTTGTTCTGTATGCCAAGAACTAGGCCACCCCTTTCTATCTACAGCTAGCTTTCCATAATTTGAATAAGAGGGCATTGACACAATCCAGAAAAATGAGAAATGTGGGGAATGCTTCCAGAAAAGACCAGGGATCTCCTGCTCTGCTCTCCCCAGAGACAGACTGTTACTGCCAGGTATATTCACCCTGGCCACATGATGTTCAGAGATAGCTTAGGCTTGACAGCAGCACAACTGCATTCATGTGGCTATACTCCCACACTGTGATGCTTTATCACACCAAAAATGGCTGACAAAGGGCTAATGTGAGCCTATCTATGCAGGGACATTATTAATCTTCAGTCTTAATAAAGACAGATAAGGACAGTCCTTTGATGGCATTTGTGTGTGCATGGACATAAATTTTATTTAGTTTCTCACACACAGACATAGAGTCCTCATAGAATCATAAAATGATCTTGGTTGGAAGGGACCTTGAAGATCATCCACTATTTCAGGGATGAGGCATCCACAATTTCTCTGGGAACTTCAGCCTGTTTCACTGCCTCAACATCCTCACAGTGAAGATTCCTCCTAATAGCTAATCTGAACCTACCCTCTTTCAGCTAAAAGCCCTTACTCCTTGTCCCATCACTACATGCCTGTGTCCAAAGTGTCTGCTACTGTGATATACACCCTTAGTTACGTCCTGGATTTATGTATCTCACAGTAAGTTGGAATAAAAACAATTTGTCTATTATTTCAGTCTTTCCACACATTATTTTCCAGTGTGCTTTCTCCAATCAAGCAGGTAAACTTAAAACAGATAATATAACCGATTATTTACTTTGTGTGGTTAAGCAAACATCTACTAATGCAAAATTTAGCTCTATATAAAGAGATTTTTAAACATGAATGTTTTATCAACTGAAAATACTTGAGAATGGAGAATACAGGCAAAACTATAGTGGATTTCATGTGAAATCTGAGACATAGTAAATCTAAATCCTAGGCTATGTAAGTGAGCAAATTCCTCTGAAATAAGAGCTCTGATAATGTATCCCTTAGCAAATTCCTCTGAAATAAGAGCTCTGATAATGTATCCCTTTAGCTTCATTTCAAAGTTGTGCCAAGAAATGTGAGATCCATGTTTGAACTTGTACTGTAACTTTATATTTTTGTGGAGTCATCCCAAACAGTATTTTTCATTTCTTTTCTGTTTTTGGCTCTTCAGCAAAATGTAACTAACAGTGACTGACGGTAATGTCAATTGTTTATGTTTCAGCATCCTCAGAGACATTTTGGAATGGAAGAGACATAATATTAGCTGTGGGTGTTGTTAATAAAATCAGCACATTAATTTCAAATCTCTTAAAAGCATAATGACAGAAATAATATTAACATCTGCCAAATAAAGAAAAACAGGAATTACAAAATTCCATTTTTTAAACTTTCAAACAGCAAAATGGTAACAAAAAAGACCCGAAGTTGATAATCTGTTTTGTTATGCCAAACTGAGGTGGAAACAGTGATGCAGACACCAGCCAAACCAACAGCTCTTATCTTATTTGGCACAGTTCCATTGACTCTAGTGCAAGTCTGCTGATTCACAGCTGCTAAAAGTCTGGTCTGTGTTATTTGATGTTGCTACTTAAACAGCTTTAATCCTGGGACCAGCACATTTTTGCTTTGTTCACGGTGAGCCCAAGAGATAAAACAAGATGGGACAGCATCCTTCCTCATTTGTGGTGTTTTTTCAGCAGCCCCAAGAGCACCAGCCGTTCCTGTCCCTCTGATTTACCTGTAAGGTGCAGCCGAACACTCCGATCATCAGCATGGCCACCGAGAGATAGTCCGTGAACACATCCCACCAGGGCTTCAGCACCCGGAACGCCGGCTGCTGCTCCGAGAACTGCCGGAACTCGGTCACAGGAATCATCCTCCTGCAAAACAGCGAGGCCAGCTCAGTCTCCTGCAGCTCAGACCCCTCACCTTGTGCCAGCAAGTGAAAAACCTCCTCTCTAAATGAACTCCCAGACGTGGCATGGAAGTTCCCAGCTACTGACACCCCACCCCAGAAGAGGGATGCTCCTGCTGTCCCTACACAGCTCCTGGAAGGGAGGAAGAGAGAGCCTGCAATGCCATCCATGCAGGCAGGCAAATCCCTCTCTGTGTTGACTCCAGCCACCTCTGATAGGTCAGTACGGCCTTCTGCATCCTTGAAAATCAGCCCACTCTGTAGATAGAGATGTTCAGCATCACACACATTAGCCTTGATCTGGCTGAAGGTCTGGCTGAAATGCTTGTCCTGCATTCAAACTTCACGCACGTTTTTAGTTATCATGTTTCACTCATTTCCACTTTATTCATAGTGGTTTCAGGAATGCTTTGGAATATTTTTGTGCATACTCAATACAATTTTAAATCTATTATGTTTTGAATGCAAGTTCCTAAAGTGGTTTAGGTAACCAAAACTACAGCCAGATCAAGGGCTTTATCTTCACCTCAGAACTGTAGGCTGACATCATCATGTCCTCTGAAAAATCAGGTAACACATGAGCATGTACAGGCAAAGCAACTAATATTAAAGTCTACAGCATACTGTGTAACTAACCCTGAGATCAAACCGGGACTGAAACTCCTTAGTAAGTTACAGTGGAAAGATAAATTCAGATGGGAATGTAACAAAAATACTCCCAAGGGCAATTAACAAAATTTGTCCATTAACCAACATCATAAATGCTCATCACAATCAGTTCATATCACAGTAACACTGGAAGTCTATAATCCTGATTCAGCTGCACACTGGGACCCATTAATGTGGGTTTGGTGACATCCATTTCTGGGCAGGCTTAGTGATAAGCACACACTTGCTGAGAGGCTGCTCAGGAACTTAGGGGATTCAGTTCATTCAGAGCCAGGGAACAGGAAGGGAATGATTCAAGCCCTAATGGCTGCAATTCATTGCAAGTGTACAGCCATCCTAAGGATTAAGAACTGACCCCCACTAACTGGCCATGCACATGTGGAAAAGGGTGCTCACTTTGACACCTTCTCAGGGACTGCTCTGTCTCTGCCTGCCCATCTGATCCTCAGGAGGTACCACAGTCCCCAGAGGCATAACATGAAGTCTGTAAATGAACTTGTGGTAGTAGCCAGGCTGGGGCTTTGCAGCTGAGTAGCATAAAAAATTTTGTTTATTGCTCCCGTCTCCGCATGCAACCCTTCCATGTTGCTTTAAGCACTACTTGGCCAGACAGGAGAATCCTCTCTCAGCCTCCTGTCCTTCTGAAGTCTGTCCCCAGGATGCAGGTGACAATGCCAGATTAAACCTGCACACACCTCTTGCACAACTGGCAACCCCCAAGATGAAGGCAAGCTGTCCTCCATACCACTTTTAAATTAACAGACCACCAGTAAAAATGATGGCAATGCAAGTCTGACTTCACACAGCCAGGTCAGAGGCTTGGCAGCATCCTTGCCAACAGGCCTGAATTGCTGCAGTGCTGGAAGAGGAATGCAGCATTTGTTATCAAATGGCAGGCAGTCAGGAACTACAATTCTGCTTTTTGTGTGCTTGTCTTGCAAATGTTAGCACACATATCAGGGAAGATATACCTCTACAGCAGAGAAAAGCTGGAGTGGCTGCTGGGACAAACGCTTGTTGCCTTTCACTCGTATGTTATAAACAGAAAAAGGAAAAAGTGGATCTCATCTATTAGAAGTGGCCCATGTAGCTCTAAGTACATGCCCAGCACTCCTTCAGCTAAACCTCTGCTGGCAGCTCCCAGTGGCACCTGAGCTGAAGAACATCATACACAATCTGTCTTCCATTCTCACATGCATTTCACTACCATTGTTAAGAATTTCCCCTCTTTTTCATTTTCACATAAAATGCAGGTGACTAGTAAGCTTTCTCTTTTTTTTCCTTTCAATCAAGCACTGAAAAACTTAGAAAATTCTCAAAGGAATCCACTAATACAAATGTTAGCTAAGCAGTTGCCATGCAACAGTCCTGCTCAAAGTTTTGTAACACATATACTACTGTTGGCTCAGGTTTTGAGGCCAGCTGGCTGACTGAGTGGAATGCCATCAGTATACCCAAGAATACCTATCAACAGATTGCTTTAAAATCACCACATTTTCTTCCCACCCCTGCAATAATGGCTTAGGAGCTCTTTTTCACATTCTGATTGCACAGCCTCTAGAAATCCTGTTTGTAATGCTTTTTTTTCAAAATTATAAACAATCTGAGTGTCAGGTAAAGACAGAATTATGTTTCCTGCAGTGGAGATTCTTGACAAAACACCAGTGCTCACATGCACAGAAATGTGGGGAGACGCAGGAGTCGCTGGTTAGACGCCCAAGCAACTGTGGGTCTGAGCCATGGTGTTATCAAAGGTGGCAGCACTGAACCAGGGGCAGTGCCTGACAGCAGATGGGACTGCAAACTATCTTGCAAATTACTGTGCAGGGACAGCTTTCAGACCAAAAAATCCTTTGGCTGTTGTTTTTTATAGGTTTCACTGTGTATTTTTAGGGGTCTTTGTTGTATCATATATTTGCTTTATTTCTCCTAAGTGATGTGTGGGGAATTTAGATGAAGGCAGATAGGTTCTGATAGCACAAGCACATGCTGCCCCGATGCCTTGTTCCCTTCAGAGGCTGTTGTTTGCATAGCGTGACTCCTCATTAGCAGAGTGCACATTCTGTTACCCGATTAATGGGCCAAGCAGAGGCAGAGCTCACACAGAAAGCCCTCTGAGCCACCTCAGAAAACCCATCCCTAGGGGTGGAAACTTTGCTGTCCAGCACCAGACATCAAAACCTGTCTGCCACTAATGTTTTTCTATATTGCTAAAAAAAGAAAACAAACATTACTGAATGATGATAATAGTACTGCACATAAAATAACAGTAAAAAAACCAACAACATCTACTGACAGACGATATTTTTTAGCTTTGGGGAAAAAAGATATTTGCAGAAACTTTAAATGGCAATTGAATGTGACGAAGTAGGAAAACCATTTTCCAACACTCACTGGAAGAACCCAATGGCTTCTCCCCTTGCTGTATTAAGAATCAAGGAAAATGCTGGAAAGAACTGCAGAGCAGCCTATTCTAACCAGCACTGCTGACAACTGCATGCAGAAGAAAATGACACCAAGTCACTTTTCATTTGTCTCCCACTTCCCTCTAGCTTGTTTTCCCATTCTGGCTTCTCCAGGGATGGAAAGGACAACTATCAGCAGCAACTCAGACCTCAGAAAAGACACAGCAGGTCCCTCCGGCTCAGAGCAATCCTGAAAAATCCCTCCTGGCCATGTCCAAAGCCCAGCTCTTTCCCACTGCTACACCCAAAGGTGCACCACTGCCAGATTCCTTTATAATCGCACACAAACCAGATCTACACAAGATAAAAGGATTTAATCAATCATCAATTTGAACAAATCAAGGTATGCTAAGAAGTCACACGGCAGCCCAAGTCACAGCACACCATTTACCACAGGACACCATCTCTGGGACAGCACACCAAGCACTGCAGCTTCTTATCTCTCCTTGTAACACGGAGATAAAAGACAAGGAGTTCAACATTTCAGCTGGTTGAACGTTTCAGTCTAAGACTGCATTACTAATTTGCATTCACTCACATCCAACGTTATTAAATTGCACAGTACATTGTAGCCGAAATGTGGCATCTGACTTATAGTAACCTACTTTAGTAAATACTAGAGCTCTAAATATTGGAAATTATTTTCAATTAAAACCAGAACGTGTTCTTTTTTTTCTCTTGCATTTTAAATAATCCTCAGACCCTAAAGAAAATAAAATGGTACATGAGATAAATCATCTGCTATTCTACTACCAGAAGGAAATAAAAAAGGAACTTGGATTAAAAAACAGTTGTACTGGCTGTTAAGCAGTGTTGTAGAACAGAGCTGTGGGTTTGCCAGATTAAATTAAAAAAAAAAAAATTAAAAAAAAAGAAAAAAAAGTAACAAAAATCCCAAAAGAAACAAAAGAAAAAACCCCCACAAGAACACTGGAGGGGAGAGAAATCAGTAGTGATTCTTATTTTAAAATTTCTAAGAAATGTAGAAAATTTGGTGAGAGAAAATGAATATGTCATAATAAGATTAAATACTTGAGTCCAGGTACAAGTGTGATACCTACTCTATCAGAAAACCCAACTACAGGAATCAGCTAATGCATAGGAGATTGGGGGCGAGACACAACAAATTCATGCGACCTAAAAGAGCTAAGGAGAATAAATAGATCCAAGTCAGAGACAAAAGTATTGGAACCAAATTAGACTTAATAAATCAACAGATTGAATCAAAGGCTGATTGTGAAGCACTGCAGCGTGGAGCAAACCAGCCTCTCAGCAGTTGGTTTGTATCAGCAGGAATAAAGGAAAGCAGTGAGGACAGTTTGGAAGTAAGGATGGCTAAGGAGAAAGCCGAGGCACCGGGCAATCCACATGATGTCCGTGGCAGAATAAAAGGAAATCAGTGCACGAAGCCGCTGCCCACGGGGAGCTCACGGGGCGGCTCGGGCTCTGTGGGCCTGACTGCCACCAGCAGCCCAAGGGACCCCGGTGGCACGGCTCGCTGTCACAGCACGGCCGCAAAGCCCTGGGGACAAGCCCTGGCCTTGGCTTAGTGCTCCACAGCACTAAGGGAGCTGCTCGGCATGGCTTCGTGTCCACCGAGGGGCTGTGCCCTGCCTTGCAGCAGCACACAAGGGACCCAGTCAGAGCCAGGACACACCGTGCCGGATGGGCAAACACATGGGACATGGAAGTGGCATGCCCCGTCATTAAGCTGCATTCACCTTGTGTCTTGAGAGACTCTTCAAAAGCAAAGACATTGAAGTTCAGAAAACAGCCCCACTGGGACAACCCTGAACAAAGCTGCCTTTGGCTTGCAGCACCTTCCAGGCCC